TGGAGAAAATGAAACCGTTGTGGATACCGGGAACGAAATGCGGATACCATGCGCTTACTTTTGGCTTTCTCGTTGATCAGATTGTACGTCGTCTTGATCCCCGAAAACGTGGTGTTGAACAAATTCTTCGTGAAGATATACTTGAAAAATATGGTAAATTTCAAAAGATGCTTATAAACTGTCAGATAATTATAGGCTGTCAATTAAAGTCATAAGTCAAAATTCTCTCCGATTCCGTTTTCAGTAAGAGGTGGCGACACTCGAAAAGTAACCCATGTGGTACAAATGCCAGCAGGCTGTTCAACAACTGCCTATTCTGAGGATAACTTGCAAGCGGGTTGATGGTGGTTTTGGCATGTGCTAGTATCAATTTATTAACGAGAAGAATGACCAAATTATAGAGGGATCGGTGGCCCGACAGGCTGACACAAATTCACCACAACATTACTATTTCCCAGTGCGCCAGAGCTGTTAATACGGTTGGAATTTTGTGTCTAGAAAGCGTCTGCTTCAGTTTGGATACAAGTTTGCTAGAAAAAAAAAAAAACAAATTCCCAATTATTTTTTTCGATAGCAATAATTTGCCAAGCTTTGAATAAAAGTGAGGCACGGCATACTAAAATTATTTCCTCCTTGACTTGCCTATTGTAGTTTGCTTCCGTTCAGTGTTCCTGAAGTAGCTCTCTGTTTCCTTTTTGATTCTGGTACCTTTCGTCAGCCATCTTAATGAGAATGCTTCCAGGCGTAAAAGACATTTCGATTGGCCTTCCGGACGAACAATCAAATTTGAGGGTCGCAACTGTTGTGCAACAAACCAGTGAGGGGTTGGAAGTAGAGAGGAAATTAAGTCCAGAAGGCGTGCGATTGTCATCTTTATCTGATAATGAGCATCATAAGCGACTCTATGAAACATGGCCATGGATACGAATCTCTGAGGTACCAACTTTGCTACGTTGACTGCTTCGAAAATTGCGCTATTAGTATTATATACTATGCAATTTATCAATTTCAAGCAGAGTTATATACGCTATTCGAGGAATAGTTATAGTCAGTGAAAAGATTATTAGAAATATTAAAGGCTGAAACCTATAGTATATTCTGTTAAGATCGTCAGAAATTTCATTTTGATGTTCATAACACCGCTGATTTTGAAATACTTGTCCGGCGCAAAAAATCCTACTAAATACGTACTTTTATGTGCCAAATATAGGGAGTATAAAAAGCTGTATGCTTCATGCTGTGGTGTATATTTTTTTATAAAATTGGCTCCATGTTGTAATTTTCAAATAATTTTTGATATTTTTTTAATACTATGGCTGCTTTTATTGCAGTACAACAATCCGAAAAAGCGATGTTTGAAGATGCCTTCAAACATGGGTATTGGGACAGCTCGTGGACTTGCTGAGCTGCATTCGATTCTCGCACGCGGCAAACTACTCCCCAGTGATATGCTCGAATTAATCTCAACGCCTCAGATTATCAATGAAATGGATATTATTAATGGATATCCGGAAAACAAGGGTTTCGGATGGCAGTACAGCAAAAATAAACTTGTAGGGATAAAGGACTTTCCAGTTTCTTCATTGGCTTGTTAATCAGTTGATCAACTTCCAGTGAGCTTTTATGCAGATCCATTAACCTCACAACTACTTACTCTGATATCAGCTACTATTTTATCCTCTTGCTTAGCAACTTCCTCGATTCTCTATTTTGAGCTTCACTCATCCAAAAAGTTGCATAAAGTCGTTTATGCAAATCTTTCCATTCACTGACTTCCCCAGTAGTGTTTTAACACTGCATGGGCACCGTTCAATAACCCGCCCTGTCTGTCTCTGTGGTTATCTATATGTTTAAAATCCATGTTTTCAAGATATCAAGGTTATATACGTGCGGCTTTCATTGATTTATAGGCACCCGCATACGTATATCTTGAAAGGAATTTACCATGAAGCTTTTTTGCACACAACAGTTGTGGAAAAATGTATAAGAATTAAAATTTTAATGTATAGGGCATGAAAACAAAAAAGTACCACTCGCCTTCTACTATGGTAGCAGTCTGTTATTTTATGTCTATTTGTTTAAGGGCAACTGGAACTTTGGGCATTCAGGACACGGTGGCCAAATCGTACGAGTAGACCTGGAAACGGGTTTATCTTATGCGTATCTTTGTAACGGTCTCAAATCGTCCGATTCTGATCACGTTTTACCATTTCGAAGACTTCAAGAGGCTTTATACGACTGCGTATTGGAGATTCAGGCAATATTTTAAAATCCACAAAACGCCATGATAAAGGAATAGCTTGTGCATTTCTAAGCAATAGTGTCGCATGCTGTTGCAGCACTTTCAACAAAAAAAAGTTAATTCTTTTTTCAGGAGAAATAAAAACGAAAAAAGAATCCCGTAATAACAAGAAATGGAGAAATTAGGATAATTTTGATACTGAAGCCGGATTATCCAGGCAGGAGTAATTTGTTGTTATGTGCTGTGATACTTGAGCCGATGCCTTGCGATTGTTCGTGAATACTGAAAGCGAAATAGATAAATAAATTTTGTAATTTCGATATTGTTGCACAAGAAATAATATTTATGACTGCCAAACCGGCTTTAACTGCTTTTCAGAACCTTAGATTTTGTCGGACTGTATCTGTATGCCAGATACAGTCAAGCCAATCCAACCTCATACGTCAAAAAGACGTCCAAGATTACACGTGCTTACATTGGTACTTTGACGAGCTAATCAACTTTGCATGTGTGATTACAGTTCAGGATGTAGGGGAGCCTAAAGTTTTTTTGTCTTATCCATCTAAAAACATTGAAAGCGTATTTTCTTCTGCTTTACAACACGCAAATACACGTGAGGACCAGAGATTGAGAGTGCACAGAAATGCATGAGATCAGTGACAAAGATTGAGAAGGTATTTTCTTACCATTTTGTAATAAACATATATGGAGAGAACGAGGGATTGAGGGGGTGACAGAAATACAATGAGATCGGCAACGGAGTTTGAGAGGGTAGTTTTCTTTTATACCGTAACATACGGTAGGCGAGAATCAGGGATTGAGACTGCAACGAAAATACAGTGTTATCGCTGGGACGGAGGTTGAGAGTGTGCCTTCTTACCACCCGTAATGCTCATATAGAAGAGAACCGGGATTAACAAAGTGATGGAAATATAATGCGACTGGAGACAGAGATTGAGAGGGTACATTATT